TCTTATAGTTCTTTGTCCTTTTTTTTTTTTTTTTTTTTTTTGAGACGGAGTCTCGCTCTGTCACCCAGGCTGGAGTGCAGTGGCCGGATCTCAGCTCACTGCAAGCTCCGCCTCCCGGGTTCATGCCATTCTCCTGCCTCAGCCTCCCGAGTAGCTGGGACTACAGGCGCCTGCCACCTCGCCCGGCTAGTTTTTTGTATTTTTTAGTAGAGACGGGGTTTCACCGTGTTAACCAGGATGGTCTCGATCTCCTGACCTCGTGATCCGCCCGTCTCGGCCTCCCAAAGTACTGGGATTACAGGCTTGAGCCACCGCGCCCGGCCTATTTTTTTATTTTTTTATTTTTTTTGAGATGGAGCTTCACTCTTGTTGCCCAGGCTGGAGTACAGTGGTATGATCTTGGCTTACTGCATCACTGCAACCTCCACCTCCTGGGTTCAAGTGATTCTCCTGCCTCAGCCTCCTGAGTAGCTGGGATTACAGGCATGTACCTCTATGCCTGGCTAATTTTGCATTTTTAATAGAGACAGGGTTTCACCATGTTGGTCAGGCTGATCTCAAACACCCAACCTCAGATGATCTGCCCACCTTGGCCTCCCAAAGTGCTGGGATTACAGGCGTGAACCATCGCTCCCAGCCAAATGCTAGTTTTGTATGAGTTTATGTGGAAACCTCTGTGGTATATACTTCACAGCTCTGCACATCTAGCCTGTGGCACACACATGATTCCCTCCTGCTTGCCTTTGTTCAGCTCATTCCCTTAGTCTAGAACACTATTCTCTGGCTGGGTGTGGCAGTTCACTCCTGTAAGCCCAGTACTTTAGCAGGCCAAGGCAGGAGGATTGTTTGGCCTCAGGAGTGTGAGACCAGCCTGGGCAACATAACGGGACTATCTCAGTGTATGACACGTGCCTGTAGTCCCAGCTACTTGGGAGACCAAGGCAGGAGGATAGCTTGAGCCTGGGAGTTTGAGGCTGCAGTGAGCCATGATTGCACCACTGTGCTCCAGCTTGGGCAACAGAGCAAGACCCTTTCTCAAAAATTATATATATATGTGTGTGTGTGTGTGTGTGTGTGTATATATAAATATAAAATATATAATATATTATATATTATATATTATATATTTTTTTACATATATAAAATATTATATATATATGCTTTTTAGTATTTCTGATGTGCCGTTCAAACTGAGTGAGGTGGTGGTAGATGTATCAGGGGTACTTGAAAGCAGCCATAGGCCACACGTGGCACATCTTCCTGGAGACTTCATTTTATTTAATTATAAATAATTTCACCTACTTTTAGCTACTCCAGGCTGGGCACAGTGTTTCACGCCTGTAATCCCAGCATTTTGGGAGGCTGAGGCGAGTGAATCACTTAAGGTCAGGAGTTCAAGACCAGCCTGACCAATGTGATGAAACCCCATCTCTACCAAAAATACAAAAATTAGCCAGGCATGGTGGTGGGTACCTCTAATCCCAGCTACTTGGGAGGCTGAGGCACGAGAATTGCTTGAACCCTGGAGGCAGAGGTTGCAGTGAGCCAAGATCATCCCACTACACTTCAGCCTGAGTGACAGAGTGAGACTCTGTGTACAAAAGAAGTACAGCTACTCCAGACATATGGAGTAGAATGCAAATTGGTGAAAGAAATGACTAAGAACATTCCGTGTGGTGCTGTCCCCTGCAGTGGGAAGTCTGCATTCGCCCTGCGGTGGAAGGTGGGAAGGTGAGAAACAGGGACCCCTGATTAGAAGGGGCTAGGTGCAGATGAGGTGCGGCAAGGGGAATACAATGCAGCGGGAGGGAAGTGGCAGTCCCTGTGCTCGAGGCTCCTGCAGCGGGTCCCTGTCACCTGTGGTGCTCTTTCCTTTCTGAGAACTCAGACAATTCAGTCTCTATACCACTCCTATGTTGCCTCAGGAAAGTACTTGTATTACATGGTTTTCTAACTTGCCACATATGTAGTCCTTATCTCCTCAACAACATTCTTATCCTCCAACATCTGGAGTGCAGGTGTGGGGTGAATTCAGGCCCTGGTGTTTACTGATTGAGCAAGGCACTTTTCCTCTCAGCCTTGGTTTCCTTATCTGTAAAACATGGATAGTACTTCCCTAATGAGATTGTTCTCAGGATTCAACTAGATAACATGTGTGCAGCATTTCACTTAGCAGATGGCATGGATAGGCACTTAGTAAACATCAGAGCCCTCCCAGCAGCGCCAGGCTCTTAGTAAATATCTGATTCTTGAATATTCCCATCCCCAAATATATCCCCCTACCTGAGACTCCTCTCATGTTCTCTGTCTCCCTTCCTGTCACAGTGCATGTGTCTACAGAAGGCCACCCTCTTTGCGTATCCTGGTTCCTGGCCCTCCTCACCCTCACAAAGATCTCACTCACACAACTGCCTTCTCATCTCCTGTAACCTCAGGTTCTCTCCCTACTGGATCTCTCAGACTACTTCTCTCTCTACACTCACTCCGGGGATCTCATCCACTGTTGCGGCTTTCAAGGCCATCTAAAAGATTCCCAAGTTTATATTTTAAACCTAGAATGCCTCAGAATCCGAGACTTACATATCCACTGCCTATACCCCGTGTCCCCTTAGAAGTGGCACAGATACTTCAGCATGTCTAAGATGGATCTCCAGATTCCCACCCCACCCTTCCCACAAGTTTTCCCATCTTAGTAATGAGAACTCTGTCCTTCCAGTCACCCAAACCAAAACCTTTGGAGTTATCCTTGGCTCCTGCCTCTTAAATCCCACAGTCCTATAGGCAAGTCCTGCCAGTCAGCTCTTCCTTCAAAATACAGAGTATACCTGGCCACTTCACCTCCTCATGCTGGTCCAGATCAAGCTCAACTCTCATGAGGCCAACTTCAGAGGCCTCCTGAGTGGTTTTGCTACCTCTGTTTTCCCCAGCTCCACAATCTTGTTTTCCACCAACAGAGTAATGTTTTCTAAACATCAGCTGACTCTGTCATTTATTGACCTCAAGCCCTCCAGTATCTTCCCCTCTCACTCAGAATCAAATCCAGATTTCTTATCATGGCCCTAGGGACCAGCCTGTTGCCTGTCTTCTCTCAATTCCCACTACCCTTCCTTGCTCCCTGGCCCCCAGCCTCACTGGCCTCCTCAGTGCCTTTCCTGGAACAGGCTGGAAACACTCCTCCCTCAGGGAGCTTCTCCTTGTTGCTCCTTCTGTCTGGAACACTCAGGTGCAGACCTTGCTCCCTTCCTTTCTTCAGGTCTCTGCTCAAATGCCACCTTAGCAGAGGGCCTTCCCTGACCAGTCTCTCTAACATAGCGCCCTGGCATCCTTGGACCCTTTCTGATCTCAACTCTGATTTTGCTTACTACTGACTGCTACCTGACATAATTAACTTACGTGTTTGTTTTTGTCCATCTCCTGACCATTAGTAACACCCCAAGGGGACCTTTGGTGCCTGGCACGTAGTGAGTGCTCAGCAGCTGGGTGGGAGCTGTGGCATAGACTGGAAGAGCTTAATGCAAGTGGCCCCTGGTCACTGCACTGCCTCTTGCCTGCTGTGTGCTTTTGGACAACTTTACTTAACCTTTCTTAGTTTCAGTTCCCCTCTCGGTAAAACTTACCTGGAAGGTTTTTTAGGAGGATTCGAGATAATACATTTAAAGTACCCGAAACATGATCAGTGCTCAGTAAGACAGGGGCTACACAGGCCACTTAGCTGCTCTCTAGGCCTGTTTCCAACAAGTTACTAGTGCTGCCTCCATCTGCCCCCAGGATGGAGGGCTGCTACAGTAGATGAAGGTAATGCTACAGAAGCAGTTACTGACTCTATTCTCCATGTCATACCCTGACCCCGGGTCTCCTGAGCATTGTTTCTGGCTCCAGCCAGTTCTCCATCCCCCAGCACCGTCAGTTTCTTTTTTCTTTTTTTTTGAGACAGAGTCTTGCTTAGTTGCCCAGGCTGGAGTGCAGTGGTGTGATCTCGGCTCACTGCAAGCTCCGCTTCCTGGGTTCATGCCATTCTTCTGCCTCAGCCTCTCAAGTAGCTGGGACTACAGGCGCCCGCCACCATGCCCGGCTAATTTTTTGTATTTTTAGTAGAGATGGGGTTTCACCGTGTTAGCCAGGATAGTCTCCATCTCTTGACCTCGTGATCCATCCGCCTTGGCCTCCCAAAGTGCTGGGATTACAGGCGTGAGCCACTGTGCCCAGCCTTTTTTTTTTTTTTTTTTTGAGGAGTCTCCCTCTGTCACCCAGGCTGGAGTGCAGTGGCACAGTATCAGCTCACTGCCAGCTCTGCCTCCCGGGTTCACACCATTCTCCTGCCTCAGCCTTCTGAGTAGCTGGAACTACAGGCGCTTGTCACCACACCCGGCTAATTTTTTGTATTTTTAGTAGAGACAGGGTTTCACCTTGTTAGCCATGATGGTCTCCATCTCTTGACCTCGTGATCCGCCCGCCTGGGCCTCCCAAAGTGCTGGAATTACAGGCGTGAGCCACCACGCCCAGCCATCAATTTCTTACCAAAGCCCCTCAGATGATGGCCATGTCTGAGCAGGTCCTGCAAGTTGAGACCCTCCCCAGCCCTGCTTTGATCAAGGTGGTCCCTGATGTGGGAAGCCAGAGGTGCTTGCTGGGAATGTATAGATATGTTTGGACTTCATGCGCCATGGACCCCAAAGGTCCTTCTCTGGCAAAGCACCCATGTTTGTGAAGTGGGCACTGCTTAGCAAGCCAGGTGGCTGGCGGGTCAGGTAGGTTTTCCCTGGCTGCTCCAGGAAGGTGAGTCGTGAGTAGTTTCCCTGTGGGCCACCAGGGGGCACCAGAGGTCGCTCAGCTCTTAGAGGACTTGATCCGTCTCTTAAGCTGTCTATGTCTTCTCCCTCTCAGGCCTAGGACTTTCTTGAAGGAAAAGAACTGTGGTGGTGGTTCTCCCATCTCCTAACTTGCTAGGGACTGCCAGTCAAAGCAGGGCCACAGTAAAGGACTGAAGGTCAGGATTCCAGGCTTAATATTCTTTATTGGTAAGCATTAGTGAACCCCTTGCCCTGGGAGCTCAGCCAGTCCTGCTCTGATTCCTAGCCATAGGTGGGACAGCATCTTTGCCTCATGGATCAACTGTCCACGTCTGGCTGTGCCTAACTTGCCACACCATGGGTCAGGGAGACAGGCAGCAGGTACTGGAAGGTGATGGCCAGGTCCTTTTCCCCAGTGACCACTCTCCATCTAGAAGCACTCTGCTTCAGCTGCACAGGCTCTTCCAGGGGGGCTCTGAGAGCCTGCTGGTTAGATGGAGGAGTTGAGCCTCTGACACCTCCAGGTTCTGCCTGCCAAGGGTTCCTCCGCAGCGGGGCTGAGCTGAGCAGAAGCAATGGGCTCTTGCTTCTGTCCTGAGATTCTTGGGTGAGGAGCAAGAGAGCCAAGGGCAGGAGGTCATACGTGGTGCCTCATAGGGGATAGAGATGCCAGAGGCTGTAGAAGATGGGGTGGGAGGGAGGGATATCCCAGAGAGAGAGAGAGAGAGAGGGAAAGGGTCAGTTGTTGAGTCCCTGGATCTGATTTCACCAGCTATTCTTGGCCATGCCCATAGTCCTTGGGAAACCCCTTGGTTCTAAATAGATAGTTCCTTGGTTCCTGGGTGTACCTTTGCCCCCGACTAGCTTGTGGAGGTAAGAATTATTGGCCGGGTGCGGTGGCTCATGCCTGTAATCCCAGCACTTTGGGAGGTCGAGGCGGGTGGATCACGAGGTCAGGAGATCAAGACCATCCTGGCTAACACAGTGAAACCCCATCTCTACTAAAAATACAAAAACAAAATTAGCCGGGCGTGGTGGCGGGCGCCTGTAGTCCCAGCTACTCGGGAGGCTGAGGCAGGAGAATGGCGTGAACCCGGGAGGCGGAGCTTGCAGTGAGCCAAGATCGCGCCACTACACTCCAGCCTGGGCGACAGAGCAAGACTCTGTGTCAAAAAAAAAAAAGAATTATTACAGTAGCGTGTCCTCCTTCTTGCCTGTTCAGCAAGGCCCTTCAACCCTCCATCCATTTCTCCCTCAGGTCAGGACAGCAGGGTGACGGTGCCTGGAGAAGGCCCTGGCTCCCCTGAAAGCCCTCCCGGCCTGTCTCTGACCTGCACTGGAAGCGGGGGTCTCCGGGGTGGGTCTTCAGCACCTCCCACACCTCTGGGGGAGGCTCCAAGCCCATCTGCTTGGCCCGACACCAGCGCTGCAGCCGTGTGATCCCTGCCAGGGTAGGAAGAAGACTCTGGAGCCTTGTTGGGGATGGGGTAGAGTCTGAGCTGGAGAATGTGTGTGTTCAGGGGAGACAGTGCCTGAGGGTCAGAGTCACACAAGCGCTTGGGTGACTTCAGAGACGTGTGGGTGACGGGACTGGCTGGGAGAGGCACCTCCGTGGGGCTGGGTGGGTTCTCACCGGTGCAGGGCCCGTACTGCCAGGCCAGGTCAAACTGCCTCAGCAGCTCCAGCTCCGCTTCCTCCTCGTCGCGGGGCTGGGGCTCCTCCCCTGCAATGACAGCTGCTCTTCAGTGCGAGGCTGGCCTCAGTCTCCTGCCCCTCACCTCCCAGCCTTCCTCACCACCCCTTTGCCTCTGCCACCCCGCAGCTAGACCTGGTGTCGGGAGGGGAGGACAGGCCACCTTTCCCCTTCCATCTGCCCCTCTGCCCACGTCCTCTAGGCCCCTCCGTGTCCACTCCTCCTGCCTCCCTCACACGTCAGAGACCTAGCTCGGATGCCAGCTCCCCCTTGCTGTGCCCAGCGGGCCCCTCCCTCCTCTTCACAACCGGGTAGGAATCAGTGATGAGCCGCTTCCGGCCCATGGCGGCCACCCAGGCAGGCAGAGGAAGGAGGCGACTGCGGGGAAGAGGAGAGACCGGCCAGTGGGCGCGAGAAAGACAGCTGCTGAGAGAGACAGACGGGGCCAGGCCAGCGGCAGGCAGACAAGATGACCCAGACAAACCGAGAGAGGAAGTCGCTGGGGTCCAGGGAGGGACGCCTCCCCCACCCCAACAAGGGCGCAAACAGGAAAGACTTCAGCCAATGGCAGGCCGCCTCTGTGGGGCGGGGCCCTGGCGCTAGCCAATGGTAGGCAGTGTAGGGTGAGGGGTGGGGCGGTGCCACAGCTGTGGGCTGCGGGAGGAGGGGCAGGCTGGGGCGGGGGACCTGTCAGGATGCCCCTACTTCACCACCTCCCCCGGCCCCCATTGGTCTGCTGTGGGTCCCGAGAGACTTGAAGAGAGTTATCCTCAGCCTCTCACTTCCCGTTTTCCCTTCCTAGGCAAATGTTCTTTTCAGCTTCGCTAATCCCCGTGGCCAGTTTGTAACTCCCTAGAGCCCAGCTGGAGCCTTCACTCGGTCCTTTGGCCCGCCCAGCGTTGTGGGGGCAGGTTTGGAGGTCTGAAGAGAGTTTGGTCTAATCCAGGCCCCTTCCCTGCTCCCACCCAACCCCCACCGGCCCCAGGAGACCTGGCTGGAGAAGCCCATGGGTTCTGAAACCTCCTTTCTCACAGTCTGTGCCCAAAGATGCTGCCCACTCTTAGTCCGAGTAAGTGTTTGCTGTTTTGGCTCTCCTGGGGTCCCAAGTCCTGCCTCACCCGCCCCACCAGTCAGGAAGATTCCATACTGGAAGGCAGAGCAAGGGTCTGGTTCCCCCACCACAATGGGTTTTGATCCCCAGTTCTTCATTGGCAAAATCTGCCCTCTCACAATAATGTTAATCTGAGCAGAAAATATTAACAGTAAACCTAACACTCATGTTGCACATACCATGTGCCAAGTACTGTTCTAAGCACTTTCCCACATATTAATTAAAAGAGATGTCAAAAAGTTTTTGAAAGTAGGAAGTATAGCTCAATGATTATCACTGCCGAGAGTCACAGGCATTGCAGGGCCCCAGTCGAACCACAGTCTGTCTTGGGCCCAGGAGCTCACTGTCACAAGGCAGACAGATGTACAGTTGTCAGTAAGAGGCTATAATTCCTACCAGAAGAGGAAAAGGGTGGGTCAGAGATTGGTTAGGACCACAGGGATGATTAGCATTGGAAGGCCTCCTGGAGGAGGTGGACTGCTGTAAACAATGTCTCTCAATTCTCCACCCATGACCTTTGTCCCTTGGGCTCCTGTCATCACTGACTCATCCATACTGCTGCCTCCCCCTCATCAACTTCCTGGCAGGAGGCAAAAGTACTGGCCAGTGGGAGTCTGGGAACCAGCACAGGGACCAGCCCAGCTCTAATCACCCTCCAGAGATCCCATCCGGTTCTTCCTTCCAGGGATACTGGGAGGGTGGGGCACAGACTCCTGGGCTGCCGCCTGCTCAGAAGCCTCTGCCGCCTCCTTTCCCTGCTCTGGGGTCTGGGTGCTCTGCACTGGAAGAGGGCTAAGCCACTGGTACTTGTGGGCACAAGGGAGGAAGCTGCTCTGGAGAGGAGACCACCAAAGGGGAAGTACAGGAGCAGGCCATGTCTTCAGGGTCCACGTCCTGCCTGGCTCCCCCCATCGGCGTCCTGGAGGAGGGCTGGTGGAGGAGGGAGCTTGTCAGGGCACTGCATGGAGCTGGAGGGCCCTTTCTGCTGTATTGTTTGGGCTGGGCCTATTCTAATCCCCCCATCTGCCTTGTGGACTAAGTGGGGCCCACATTCAGGGAGACAGTGTCCTTGCGGAGTTGGGGATGGAAGCAGGGAGGCCCTCTCTACCAGGGCTGGGGAGGGCCTAGGTGCTGAGTCCAGTCAGGCGCTGAGTATGCTAGGTAGGGATGGCATATAGGCTCTGGGGGATTGATTACCCCCTCCCCAGAGGGCCTCAGCAAGGGTTCCTGGGCTGTTTCTAGAGGTGTGTGGCACCCACCTCCTGAGTCCAAGCCCTGAGGGATAGGGAGCCATGGGTGGGGCAGACCCCTCCTCATTCCCAAGTCCCTCCTACCCCTGAAAGCTGATAGCCGTGGGGCCCTGCCACCGCCCAGGGAGCGTGAAATGGGGTGTGCTGCTGGGCAGCCACAGCAGCTCCTGCCGCCGCCTGGGACTATTGCCTTTTCTCCTTGGGTAGCCTCTGGCATCCTGAGCTACTCTGTAGATGTTGGCTGGGCTGTCCCCGCCAGCTTCCCCAGCTTTGCCTGGCTCAGGCACCCACCCAGCCTGGAAGATGTCTCCCTCAGCCTTCAGCTACCCCCAGACCCAAGAAAAAGATTCAGAGTGGTCAGCTCAAGTGCAGGCACCCTAGGCCTGGCTTTCTGGCTTGGAGTTGAGGGAACTCTCTGCAAGCAGCATTGCTGTTCTCTCCTAAATGGCAGTGGGGTTGGGCCCCCAGGGAAGAGTTGGCACCTAGGGATTTTGGAACCATCCCTGTCCAACTGGCATTCCCTGACTCAGCACCTGGATTCCTAAGGTGCACAGCTGACTAGGCTGGACCTTGGCCTTTCCATCCTCAGGTCTTTTTCCTTCTTTGCTCTCCAACCCTATCCACCTTCTGTACCTTCTTGCCTAGAATCCCTTCCCCTACTCAGGCAGCATCCTGGCCTCATTCCCTAAACTGCTGTCCTGGAGCCTGTTCAGGCTTCAGGCTGGATGGCCAGGCCAGAGGTCTGGGTTGGGTGCTGAGTTCTCTCTCCCTGCGGGAATGTCCTGAGACCCTTATGTCAGCCCCGACACCCAGAGGCTGGTGATGAGACTAGTAGGAGTGACCTTTGCACCTCAGCCTGGTAATAATACCCAACACCCTTGCTTCAGGGCCAAGTCCAGAGTCCTGGGGGTCCAGGAGAGAAAAGAACTGAAACAGGAACCCAGCACCTTCCCAGGGGATGAGGCCCACCGCTGACTGCACTCAAGGGAAGAAGGATTAGGTCCGGCTTAGCTCAGACAATGTGGCAGGATGGGGGCCTCAGCACTGTGCCTGCATTCCCTTCCCCCTCCTCACCATGAGGTTTGTGGGGAGAGCAAGGTAGAGCTGGGAAGGTGGAGGCAGGTGGAGAGAGGGGAGCAGCTGCCTGGGGCCCAGTGGGCTGTGGGATGGATCCAGCTCTTCTTCCCTCTCGCCGGTACCCTCCTTCCTCAGGCCCTTGGGCTCTGCCACCTACCCTGAGCTGGAAGTCAGTCCCACTCAGGAGATTCTGGGCAGCCAGAATACCCCTGGCCCCGCCCCCAACATACTCACACCCCGTGGGCCCCATTCCTCACCCTGTGGGCCAGAATTCTTTTAGGCAGTCATTCCTGGCCCCTCACTACCCTCCCAGACACTCCCTCTTCTCCTGGTCCAGGTTCTCTGGCCTAATGTGCTTCCATGGCAGCAGCTTGAGGGCAGAGGAAGGAGTCTCTGGGTTTTTTTTTGTCACTGCTGTCTTCTGTCCTGCTCCTACCACCCTCCACACATCCTTCTGTAGTCACCTCCTCTTTCACTTTGGCCATCCAGGCTCTGGAGCAGTTCTGGGAAGACTTGAAAAGGGGCCTTCTGGCCATTCCTCACCTTGGCCACCAGGTGTCAGACTTTGCCCAGTTGGGTGGGAGGAAGGTTCTAGTTAACCATTTCCACCCCATCAGCCTGGCCTCAGAGAGAGATCTGGGCAAGTTGGGGAGGAGCCTAGAGCTGACTGCTGAACTGGCAAGGCTGAGGCACCCTGAAAGTTGAGACTGGAAAAAGAACTGGAACTCGGGCCCTACAGCTTTCTGCCAGATCGGCCTCACTGCCACTGCCCCCACACCACCCCATTGACAAGGGCTTTGTCCCCTGCTGGGAAGTTCAGGGGAGGCTGAGTCAGGGAGCTTGAGAATTGAGGGAACAAAGGCAGGGACAGTTGTAGCTCCACAGCAGAGGGGAAGCTGAGAGGGAGCTGCCCGTCGGAGTGCCCAGCCAGGACTGAGTCACTAGTCCTTGCCCTCTAGGTTAAGGGGAACAGAGGGCCTCCCTTTGCCTTTCCCCATTTGGGGTGGCTGTGGCAAGTGAGAGTGTGTGTGTACATGTGTGTGTAAGCTCAGTGCTTGAATGAGTCTCTCATATCATGAGGCAGCCTATAAGTCTTGGATGGTGGGTCAGTCTTTGCAAAAGTGGAAAACTGGCAAGGTCTGAATATTTTACCATCTCCCATCAGAGCTTCCTCTAGCCCCACTTCCCCCAGAGGTTGCCCCTGCCCCAAGTGATAGTTCTCCATTTTATGCTCATTCTTTCAAACATAGGTGTGTTTCCAAGCACCCAAGATGATGACGAGATTTCTAATCCTTACATGCTATCTGGAGATGACGGAGAGGAGGGTCTTCTCTCGCCCACTCCCCCTATCCTTGTGGGGACATAAGGACTACTAGAGATAACGCACCCTCCACCCCTTGACATTTCAAGGTCTTAGAGTCTCATGTGAGCCTCTGGATACATGGGCCTCTGACTCTAAGGCCATACTTATGAGGTAGAACCTCGATAACTAACAAAACTCATCAAATCTCCTGAAGCAGTTCTGGATGGAAAACCAATGACTCACTCACAGAAAATGCTAATGCCCTATGATCTGCCAGGTGCTCCCTGTGCCATGGTGCTGGCGTTTTCACAAGATGCCTGTGGGACACAGTGCCAAAACACGAAGGAACAGCTCACATCCCCTGTCACCATCATTAGGGGCTGTTTGAGAGAGTTCAAGAACTCACACTCTGAAGTGCCCTCTCATGGTGCTCTCGTCCCCCTCTCCCTCCACCACCAAGGGAGCCTTCTGCATCCTCAGCATTTGGGAACCCCAGCGCTGCCCGTTCAGGATTCTTCTCCTGGCCTATTCCCCTCCTCTGTTTCCCTCCACTGACCACTCTGCTCACACTGCCTGGCTCTGGCTCCCAGCCAATTCCAGTAGTTTCCAGCAGCCTAGAATCCCCCTTGATTCTCTGCCGTTCCTGCTTTGCCAATCCTCCGCCTTGGAAAATGCCCTCTTCTCCAGTCTGTCCCTCTCTCTGAAATGCTAAGGAATGTCACCGC